TGGTAAGGAGTGTGGTAGAGACCTGAGAAGGTGGGCGGGGCCCCCACGGTAAGCAGTGCCAGAGGGATATTGAAATGGCCAGTTGGATCCCCCTGAGATGAGTGGGGTCTAAACCATAAGTGGGGATCCCCAGCCTACAGCACCAGAGCCCAAAAAGTACACAGGTAACAGCCAGCTGTGAAAAGCGGCAGGTTGCTCTCTGCCAGAGACTGGTGGCTGGAGGTGCGAAGAGCCTTTTAAAGGGCCAACAGATAAATTTTTATTTGCAATCACTTACCCTGGTCTCAGGCAAAGGCGGTGGCAGAGTGGGCTAGAGACGCCGGAGGAGAGATTGGAGAAGGAGGCTTTGGGGAGAGAACAGAAAGAGTAGCCAGCAGGGTTCCAGTGCTGACTCATCCCCCATATGGCAGCAGCCATCTAACTCAGGCAGAGGCCACTCCCCCTTGAGTGGCAGCAGCATCAGAGGACCCAATAACCCTGCCCCAGGTGTCTTAGCCCCTGCGGTGGTGTCTAAGCCCATCTGCTGAGTACAGAGTGACTAGATTAACAGCTGAAGGAGATAGCCACAGACAGTAGATTCCTGGAAGTCTCGAACAGACTGCCTAAAGTCGGTTGGGGACAACAGCTGACATCATCAGAGGCAGATCCAGAAAGAAAAAAAAAAAGCAGTCTCCTACCATAGAATTTCACACCACAAAGTCAGGAAATCAAGACAGATCAATTTAAGAAGCAGAAGCAAAGAGAGGAGCCTCACAAATAATGGGAAGACAAATAAACACCCCCCAGTTGAAGGGAAAGGAAGAATCCTCAGAAAGACAACTAAATAAAATAGAGGCAAGTAAACTATCAGATATTGAGTTCCAAACAATGGTTCTAAGGAAGCTCAAGGAGTTCAGTGAGTTCAGAAAGAATTACCAAAACCTAAAGGGAAACTATGAGGAACTTACTGCAAACTATATCAGCATGAAAAAGGACACAGAAACTATCAATAAGAGGCAAGAGAAAACGAAGAATACAATTTCTGAAAAGAAGAACACAGTAGAAGGAATCAAAAGCAGGCTAGATGAAGCAGAGGACCGAATCAGCGAGCTGGAGGATAAGGTAGAAAAAAGCTCCCAGAAAGAGCAAGAAAATGAAAAAAGACTCAAAAAGAATGAAGAGGCATTGAGGGAAATGCAGGACAACCTGAAACGTAATAATATCCATATAATAGGGATAGCAGAAGGAGAAGAAGAAGAGAAAGGGATAGAGAACCTATTTGAAAAAGTAATGATGGAAAACTTCCCTGATTGGAGGAGAAAAAAAGTCACACAAGTCCAGGAAACACAGAAAGCCCCATTCAAGAAGAACCCAATGAGGCCCACTCCAAGACACATCATCATTAAAATGGCAAATATCAAAGACAAACAGAGAATCTTAAAGAAAGCGAGATAGATACAGGTAGTAACATACAAGGGAACCCCAGTATGGCTAGTGGCTGACTTCTCAGCAGAAACACTGCAAGCCAGAAGGGAATGGCAAGAAATATTCCAACTCATGAAAAGCAAAGGCCTCCAACCAAGACTGCTCTACTCAGCAAGGCTCTCAATTGAAATGGGAGGTGAAATATGGGATTTCCCAGACAAAAGAAGGCTAAAAGGATACACCTCCATCAAATCAGCATTGCAAAATATGCGAAAGGGACAGCTTTAAGATGATGAAGAAAAAGAGTCTATGAATACCCAGTTCCTTTCACTATCATCAACACTTGACATTACCAAAATTTTTATTACTTATTAATCTGATTGGTACAATGATGTGTTATTTTAATTGTTTATTATTTGTTGAAACTAAACCTGTTTCTGTATATTTCTTGCCTATTTCTATTATTTTTAAAAAGCTTTAAATGACTTTTTGGTATTCTTTATCCATTTTTTGATTAAATGTTTGTAGAATTTTTCCCCCCCAAAAACAACTATTAACCTTTTTTTAGATGTGTTGCAAATACTGTCCTATTCTATTACTTGTCCTTTAACTTTTTAAATATGTGTATTACTGTATAGTCTTAAATGTTTAATGTAGTCATATTGTCAGTATTTTACTTCATAGCTTCTGGGTTTGAATATTTTACTTCAGGTTAAGAATATTATTTTATATTTTCTCCTAAAACTCCTTAGATTTTACATATTGTTTTTTAACTCAACTGAATAATTTTTGTATAATGTGTGAAATAGGACTCTATATTTGCTTTATTTCAAGTAATATGGTCCATGTACCTTGTTTGTTGAATAAGCCTTATTTTCCCCATTGATCTGAAATATCAATTGAATCATATATTACATTGTTAGACAGATATATACATTTGTTCCTAGAATGCTCATTTTATTTCATTGATCTACTTGATTATTTCTGTGCTGGTGTGATGTTGTTTTAATTGCTGAGACTTTATAATGGATTTACATTTTTTATTATTCTATAATGGATTTTGACATTTAAAAATAAATAAATAAAATCAATCTGCTTTTGGAAAAAAAGAAAGAAGGAACTCCTACCTTTTGCAGCAACATGGAATGAACTGGAGAATATTATGCTAAGTGAAATAAGCCAGTTGATGAAAGACAAATACCATATGATCTCACCTATAAGTAGAATGTATTCAACAAAATAAACTGATGAACAAAATAAACCACAGGCATGGAGACATGGAGCAGGCTGAAAGTGACCAGAGGGGATGGGGAAAGAGGACAATGGTGGAAAGAAGGGGAAGGGACTAGACAAAGAACATGTATGAATGACCCACGGACATGGACAGCAGAGTGGGAATTGACTGTGGAGAGGGGGCGGGGTAGGATGGGTGGAGGACGGCAAAGGGGGAAAAATTGAGACAACTGTAATAGAATAAACATGATTTTAAAAAAAGGAAAACAATGTCAAAAAGTTTTTCCCTATGCTTTTTTCTATAGGCAGCTTATTTGTTAATCAGTGCCTTGACCTACTCCATTCTAGTATGTTGGATACTTTTTCTTCCTTTCATGTTTCCTTTTATCTAAGCAAGTTTCCAAATGTTTGTGTAATCTTTATGAATTTGAGAATATCCAAGTGGCTTTTAAATTAATGGCCAAAGAACATTAAATTAACTATGAATTTCAGACAATACTCAATTCCAAGTAGATTAAGCCATTTATAACTAGTTGCCTTGACCTTTGAATTATCATAGGAAATAAAAACCCTGGACATTAAAAAAAATCTTATATGTCACAAAAAATGGTGTATTATGAATTTATCTCTATAGCTATAACCTTCTAAATGAAAACTGTGGTTGTTTGCCTGTGCAGCCCAATTTGTATGTGAAAATATACTGTTATTACCAGGATGCTTGAAAATAAAAATAATAATTTGCTTAAAGCTAATGCCAGTTGCCAGCCAGCTAGAATAGCTTAAAAGACACACAGAGAAAATGTGATGGAAAAGCCATGTTTAAAAAAAAATGCTATTAGTTTTGTAATTTATTGACTATTTTTAGACTATTAATTGAAATACAAATACCATAGCAAGTTAGTTGATAGATTAGAGTTCAATAAAAATAAAGCCAATATCCAATATTCTCATTTCTATGTAAGGAGCCATCTTCTCCCTTACGATCACAGACAATATCTCTAATATCAGCCAGTTATTTTTCAGATAGACACAAAGGAACTGGGATAACAAAATTGAATCAAACTTCCCACTGCCAATGCAAAAATTTCATGCCCTAAAAACAATGCGTTAGTAGTGAAATCTTTGATCTACAAATAATCAGCAAGAATAATTTTTGTGATCCATTTATATGCTCATGAGTGAGCATCTAGTTATTCTGAGACTGACAATTGTTAATAAATAGATTCAAAGACATTTTCTCTGGTTCCTTCATCATTTACCACCTTGTTTTTTGTCTTTTCTTAGACTGTTAGTTATTATGCTTTTAGCTGCAGATATTAAAAAATCCTAACTCAAATAAACTTATGCAACTGAAGCATTTATTATATTACATAGCAGGATGTTTAAAGGTTGTGTCAGTTTTAGGGTTAGTTAATTCGAGAGATCACCAGTGTCATAAAGAACACAATTTATATGTCTAAATTATACCACCTTACTTGTTTAGCTTTATTTTTTTTCTGGCTCTCTTTAAGGTTACAGGATGATTGCTGTATTGCTTTCAAGAATTGCAACCAAACACAAATATTTCTAAGAGATAAAAGTGGACATCTTTTCTGGTAATTCCTACTTCAGACCATGGGAATCCTTTCCAGAACACTTCCCTCGTATATCATTGGCTAGAACTGGATACAACTAACCCTAGCTCAGTGAGGAACAAAAAATATTAAACAGTGGCTTCAAACAACAGTGATTTATATTTACAGCTCCAGATAAGTTTGTCCTCTTTTAAGTTATATGGGGAAAGTATAGGTAATAAAACAAAATTTGGGTTTTGTTACTAAGGAAAAATCGGTAAGTATATGTTGGTATATAAGCAATTATACTTACTATAGACCTGTAAGTTCCAGAAGAGCCTTTTAATGTTAAATTATTAGTATCTAGCGCAATAATTGGCATAAAGTGGCTTTTCAATAATTATTTTTGGATTATTAACCTTGCCTGGCAAGCAACTAAATCTGAATCATGGAGAAAGACTTCCCAGAAAAAGTGATATTTGATCTGGTTCTTGATTTTTAAAATGGACCAGAAAACAGAGAGGGAGAATACTCTTTTAGACAAAGAGACACACTAGAAAAAGACACAAAGTCATAAATTGACATGGCACTTTAGATCAGTTACAATTATTTTCTGAAAAACAGGAACAGAAAGTCCCATTGACAACAGCTTAAATCATAAGGATATTACTGTTTTCTTAACAGCATTTCTGAAAAGAGTGTTTCCATAAATCATTCAGTGGCTTAACAATGCCATCAAGATCCAGACTCTTGCAGACTTTCTTCTCAGTTATCTTTAGTATTGTCAATATGTCCCCCTATGTTTGCAAGATGGCCACTGCACTTTCAAGCACTATGCCATTACAAAGCAATACAGAAAACAGGAAGAGGGTAGGGATTTTATGACAAAACAGCATCTCAGACACCTGCTCCTAGACGTACTTCTGTTTATCATTGTCTCGATCTGGGTCAGGTGGCCCACTCCTAGCCTCAAGGAAGACTTGAAATGTATGTACAAGGACTTCCTGGTTTCTATGGTGATGACAACAAACAAGGGAGACAGAGGAAGGGAAAAATATTGGGTACACAACCAACAAGGCTCATCACAACATTTTTCAGTGAGTGTGGGTATCAAGGGTATGAGGAGAATGGCAAAAAACAAGCAAGCAAACAAACAAACAAACAGAAAAATAAATTGAATTCTCATGTTCACTGGCTAAACAAAACATAGGAGTTTCATGTGTAGCACTTATTTTCTTCATAAGGAACAACAACAAAAAAGCAGTATGAGCATTGCCTCTCTATTCTGATTCCTTCTTTTTTTTTAAAAAAAAATATCACGACTTAAACAGTCAGAATAAATATCTAATGAACTCTGCCACTGATTTTCAGTTGTCTTCTCAAAGTTTAGTCACCATTTAGTCGTTATCTCATAACAACTAACATAGAGAACATTTAGTAAAGTTTTCTCATATGGTTTAAACAACTGCCATTTTTAAATGGCAAGTCTGTCTGATTCACACAATTTTGTGTGAGTATATGATTATACCATATGTTTGAAAATGAGACCCTCTGAGCACGTGCTTCAAGTAAAATATTCTAATAAAAACTATATAAGACTGCAATGTTTGCATTATAACTATTGTAATATTAAGTATCAGTGAAGATGTATAGAATGTCCACTTTTGTACCATTTAAGTTGTTGCCTGTCAGCCCTTTATATCTACTTGAGTACAACTATTTTTATCACACATTTTCTTACATTATTTATGCATTCAACAAATATTTATTGAGTGCCTATTCTGAAGCAGGATTCTGCTAAGTGTGAGTGATTAAATTATGAACCACAACAAAAACAAACAAGGAAACCCCAAAAGGGAAATAGCTATACCTTCATGTAGCGCTTGCCTTGAAAGTTCCAGGAAACATAAGATTGTTAGCTTAAGTTTGACATCCATTTTGCCTTTTTTAACTTGTTAGAAGTTTCATCCCACTGAATGTCACTCACCTCAAGCATCCTTTTGACAAGCCTTAAGGTGTCCATCCTCACATTTAACAATCATTTATATATAAATTTTTTTATTTAAAAATTTATGAGTTAAAATAAGTAGGTTATTTTAAATAAAAATTTCTGAGTGCTACCTATTTTCCAGGCACTGTTCTAGTGGCCGTAGGGATACGTCAGTATATAAAACAGAGAAAAATCATTGCCCTCATTGAGTTTATATTCTATTGGTAGGAGATAAAGAAATAAGTTCTGTAGAAGGTAATAAAAGTTAGGAAAAAATTATAATAGGGTGACAGGGACGACCAGAATAGGGTACACGATGTAAAGGGGGCTTTATGTTCAGTTGAAGTTGTGACCTCCTGCCAGTCTGTTTGTAAATATTGGTAAAGACTGAAAGTGGTCACTAAAAAGGGGGAATGTTTTCTTTTTTCTTCAAAACTGAAGATATCCTTGAAGAAGCTGAGGGCCTCACAGTATACGTGTATATGGAATCACTGTTGCCTAATTTGTATGCAGGTAAAATCTCATTAATCTGGGAAAGCTTTAAGGCACAAGAAAAGGAGGACAAGGTGGCACAAAAGAGAAAGAGGAGGAGACACAGTCCTGATCTTTCCTTGGTATTGAGTTGGTGGCAGGGTCATATACAGCATGTACTGTACTTGAGCCCAAGATATTTACTAGTGCCTACTATAAGGTCTTTCCTGGTTCCTTTTCCTACTCCTTTTTTCTCTATGATTCAAAGTTCAAATGAGTCACAATATGTACAAATAAAAAAACCAAAATTTTTATCTTACTCTCTACAAGAATTAGAATAATCAATTTAAAGCTTTATATTTTTGTAGTGATTATTTAGTCAGTATGCCTGAACTAATGCTTAGAAATCTTCAAGTAATTTTTGTTTATTAAAGCTGTGTTTACATTGATATCATTTTGACTTTTAATTGATTTAACAGGTAAGTTTAAAAAAATCAAAGTAGTTTTTTTATCGACTATTTTTAATTGGTTTTTCTCAGAAATTTTTAAAGGCAATGCTTGTATTTTTAGCAGCAGAAATAACCCAAGAATAGAAATGTTTTGAATATCATTTCTATTTTCAGTTGCAATGTTTCACATGTATTGTTAATATTATTTTATGGTTCTTGATATATACATAGTTTGTAGAAACTTATAATTGGAAAACATTATATGGAAAATATAAAACTATAATTGTAATATTAAAATTTTGATGTCTTTACTTTGTTTAAACAATAAATATGTTGGCTTTATATGGTTGATATCCAACTGTATGCACAGTTTTATATTACTGTTTTTTTTTATTCGAATGTTAGAGATAAAATGAGTGTAAAACAGACCTGATTCCTACCCTCATGGAGTTTTCATGTAGTCAGTATTGAAACCATTCCGTAATCTTAGAAATTTATACTGTTTTTAAATTTTAATGTTTTATGTATAATTGTAGTTAACATGTTTTTATGCTGAAATAATAAATAATTTCAGATAAATTCCCAGGAGCAGAAAAACTGGGTGTGAGGGTAGGGAGACTTTTCACATCTCTTTACACAGTTATTTGTTTAGCTAATCTTGGTTTATTTTGTAGTGAAAAATTAAATGGTTTTCTATTAACTGTTTCGGAAGTCGATGCTGTGCGCCAGGTTTGTGAACTCACTGCGGCCAAGGGAAGGGATTTGAGAGTCGAGGCCGCAGGGCGTTTGTGAATCAGGGTCGTCTGGTTTTACTCTAGGCTCACCGGCCGTACCTTCTCGGTGCCGGACCTGGCACAGGACCGGGGGACCGACCGTCTCAGCGCTTGATCCTCTGCGGTCCCCTCGATGCCGCCTCCCTCCGTGTGTTGGAGCCGTTAGAAGCCGCGAACCTCCCCCGCAGGCCGTCCCTGTCCCCGGCCTCCGGGGCCAGGAAGAGCCAGCACATCGCGGGCTGGGGGGTCGGACCGGCTGAGGCCGCCCGCTCCTCAGACCCCTCGTCCCCCGGCCTCGCCTCCTGGTTCCTTGGCGGCGGAAAACGGAGCGCGGCCCGGCGGCAGCGGCCCCGAGGGCCGGTTAACGGCCGCCCAGCGGCGGCGGGCGGCGGCGCTTCCCTGCGGGGCTCCGGCGGCGGCCGAGGCCGAAGCGGCTCCACGGTTCTGTATTTATTTCTTTTTTCACTCTTTACTGAACTTGCGGGGTCACAGTGTTTAATAAACCCACACAGGTTTCCCGTGTGCGGCTCTGCTGCCCGTTATCTTTTAAGAACTATACCTTTTACTTTTGCTTAATTGACAAGTCTAAAAACAGACTACACTCAAATTATGGGGCGGGAACATCACCTTGAACATAACACACAGTTTTTACGGGGACAGCCTGGAGGTGAAGATAATGTACAAAATTATATTTGGGCTTTGTACACAAATGTTTCTATTCTTCTATCTTACTTTCAGGCCATAGACCTGTTTCACAAACACATACATACATATTTATATGCATCTACGTGCGCATGTAGGTGCTCCCCATTACTGTTAAAATAGACTATGAAACCTGTGTACGTGTTTAAAACAACCAAATAAATTCCCGGAGTGAAAACCTGATTTTCTCATTCAAACTCGACAGCATTCTGTGTAAATAGAGCTACGGTTTTTACTGGAAGGCAGTTACTTGGTCCTGTCCGCTCCCGCCCTGCGGCTCACAGCCGCTTTATGATGTCAAGGCCAAACGGCCTCATCACTAAACTTTGCCAGTTTCAACTTACTTTGCTTGAAGTCCTGGCAACATATAGGCAGGGGAAATGTCTCTCCTAACATTGTAAGTACTCTTTTTCATACTTTTTTTTACTGTTTTAAATACCTAACACGCTCAGTTTAACTCCATATCTATATTGTTTAACATAAGCAATGTTTCTCTTATAATACTTTTATTTATAAATTAAAATTTCTGTTTTAAGGACACAAATGAAATATTCCCCCCAATAGACTGACTGTTTTGTTTTCACATTTGGCTCCTTCAGGCTCTTTCACAAAATAGCTCCACAGCCTTGACCGTTTGATCTCTGTCTATGTGTATACTTACAACCACATCTTATTTTAGAAAGAAGGGAAGTAATTAATGTGTGAAACCACGGTCAAGTGGGAAGCAGGGTAAAACATACTAAGACTCTGATATTTTAATATGCTTAATTGTGTGTGTAGGGAAAATTAGATAATTCCATGTTGTGACTAAAACAAAAACTGTAGTAATATTTCCAATTAAGGATAATGTATACTGAGTTCACTTTTTAAAAGGATTTACTAAGTGGATAATAAAATATTATTCATTGGGAATTAAACAACAGTATTTCTGGAGGCTTTAGTGGCTACATCTTTCAATGTTGGTCAATATTTTAAAAGACAATGTACTCTAAAAATATTGTAAAAACTAATACAAAAAATTAGAATGGTATAGGCCACATTGACTTGGAACTACCAATTGATATTCATGTGTATTAAGATGAACTATATGAGATTATAAATATTAAACCATTTTAACTAATAAAAAATAAATTTTATTATGGTACAATCTAATGTAAAAAGCTTGTAACTAAAAATCATTTAGAAAGATAAAATAAAGGTGGCATAAAAATAAAGGATATGAACAGGTAATTTATAGGAGAAGATATGTGGATAACCAGTAAACACATGACATGGTCTGTAACCTGAATAATGAAAAGAAAATTTAGAAAATCTTTGACTCCAAAGTTCAAATTTTAAAAATCTACAAGGCTTTTTTCCTTCTTAAACAATACATCCTGTAGGTGTTTGGGTCTTTTCTATTTGTATGTATCACTTTTAGAAAAAGGGAATTCAGTGACTTTGAGAGAAAGAAAAAGAATGATTTCATCCACAAATTAAAATTGAACTCCCTAATGCCTTTATAAAGATACCTTTAGTTTGATGCTGCCCACACCTCATGTTACTGCTTACATCACAAAGGTCTCAGGATTATATTACCATGGGGCATTAGCTCTTTCAGACACACTGTCATAAGCAAAATCCTCTTTAAAACCCCCACTTCCTTTATCTGAAACTTGCCTCTCTCCCAAGTACACTGTTTTCTTGATACCCTCTCTAGTGGGGGCCGTTTTCCTTCTGACATCCGCTCTTATCTCTGCACCAGACGTGAATTAGGTGTCTTCTTGGTTACCCAATAGCATTTCTAAGTCATTCTCCTCCTCTGTTCCTTTAAATTAAACACCTATGGATCCCATGTCTTCAGATGATGTCACCTACTACATTTTTTCACAATTTTTAATTTGATTTTATGTTTTCCATCACCATTTATCCCTCCCATACCTTCTTCCGCCTCCACCCATCCCTGTGCCCCTACCCTGCAATCACCACCGTGTTGCCCATGTTCAGAAGTTCTTTCTCTTTTTTTCTTGTTTGCTTCATCCCTCCCCCATACCAGCCCTTCCCCTACAGAGCTCAGCCTGCTCTCTGAGTCCGTTTCTATTTTACTTTTTAGTTTATTGTCTTCATTAGATACCACATATCAGTGAAATCATACGGTGTCTGCCTTTCTTTGACTGGCTTATTTCACTTACCTTAATGCTCTTTCGGTCCATCCATGCTGTTGCAAAGGGTAAAATTTTCTTCTTCGTACAGCTCAGTAGTATTCCGTTATGTAAATGTCCCGTAGTTGTTTTATCCACTCATCTACTGATGGATACTTGAGCTGCTTCAAAATCTTGCTTATTGTAAATAACACTGCAATGAATATAGGAATGCATGTATTCATTCAAATGAGTGTTTCAGGTTTCTTTAGATAAATTCCCAGAAGTGGGGTCTCTGGGAATTTGTTATATGTTATTAGTAATTTCTATTTCTATGTTATAGGTAATTTCTCTCTTTCCATAGTTTGAATATTTGGTTCCTTTGGTATTTTGGTCTTTATTTCTTCTTTCATGAGTCACTTTATATTAATCAAACTTCTTAAATTTCCTTTCTATTTTGTTGTGATTTATATTTTCATTATACTTTTGTAGCTATCTTATAGACTACAACATAATCTTTTAAATTATTACAGTTTAGTACAAATTAATATTTTTACTACTCCCCAGATCCCACCTTACAACATGGTGGAATGTAAGCACCTTACAGCATTTGGACTCCACTTATTCCACTCTCTTTTATACACTATTACTACCATAAATGTTATTTTAAATAAAATTATTTTATTTAAACCCTGGCTGGTGTGGCTCAGTGGATTGAGTGCTGGCCTGATAATGAAAAGATCACTGGTTCAACTCCCAGGCAGGGCACATGCCTGGGTTGCAGGTCAGGTCCCCAGGAGGGGGCACAGGAGAGGCAACTGAACATGGATGTTTCTCTCCCCCTCTTTCTCCTTCCCTTCCCCGCTCTCTAAAAATAAATAAAATATTTTTAAGAATTATTTCATTTTAAACTCAACAGAGTATCACCATTATGAATAATAAATACTTGACATTTTTGTTTTGTACCCATTTATCTATTCATCTCGATGGTTTTTATTCATCTTGTATTAACTGTGCATAACCTTGTGTCATTTTCTCCCACCTAAAGAATTCTCATTTGTATTTATTTTAGTGCTTTCTACTGGCAATAAAATTGACACATTTTTGTTTGCTTAAAAGGCCTTTATGTTATTAAAAATATATTTGCAATGAAAAAAATCCTAAATTGAATTTTTTCTTTTATACCTTTAAAATATGACTCTATTGTCTTCTGGCATCTGTTACTCATTTTTTTCCTTTATGTCAAGATATAGATTGGGCTCATGTACCAAAGATATATTCACACAATCATTTATAAAATTAAAATAAAACCCTAATATGCTTTGAAAAGAAGAAAACTATTCAGAGTTGTAATTATATTTAAGCTTCTAATAATCAGAAACTGAGACTGTATCTATACAAAGTAAGCATCACATAATATATGGCTAAATTGTCCTTTTTCTGACTGTTCTTTGCTTTTTTTAGTGATTGCTTTTTTCAAAGTAAGGTGCACTTGCAAAGTAATCCATTTAAGTGTATGAATAAGATATTAGAACTTCAATTTATATGTTTTATTTCATCTTTAAAAATTGTCTAATTTAAAGTGTGATTTATGTTATGTTATTATAGTAACATAGAAATTATACACAAGTTGTGTTCAAAAGTTTTGAAAACACTACTTTTGACTGTAGAAAAGAAGTCAAAATCAATGTAAGTGCCATGTCTTTTTCCAAGAATATGAAAGTAATGATCCATTCAGCAGGTTAGATTTTCAAACTAAAGTCCCCACGATCACAGACCATACTATCTTCTAGCTACATTATTGAATGACTGTGATTTCAATGTAGACTAATCGATCAACTGCTTTTGCAAAAGCCAAAAAGCACAAGCTTGAACTATTTCAGGCATCTATGAAGTTTTCTTTTCAAAGGCCATTTAGACATTGGTTGTTTTTTTTTTTAATTTTTCACTTAATGATTTTTTTTTTGAAAAAACAAACCTTTAATTTGGAACACATTTCAAATAAAGCACAATGTATTTTTTAGTCAGTAATAAAATTTAGTTGTGAAAAACACATATGTGCATAAAGCTATGCAATGCCAAACTACATTATATCCTAATGTAATTTTTTTATTAATTTATTTTTTCAAATACATTTGTCTCTGCCTTCCCCCCACCACTTTCCCTTGCCCCCTCCCTCCTTCCCCCCCTCAGCTCTTCCCCTTTGGCTTTGTCCATGAGTCCTTGCTATAGGTTCCTTGACTTTCCCCTTCCCTTCCTTTTTCCCTGCCCCCCTCCCTCCTTCCCTCTTGTCTCTGTTGGTTTCTTTTCCTTTCAGTGTTGCTGGTCTTATTTTCCTTGCATCTTTGTATTGTTGGTTAGGTTCCACTTATAGGTGAGATCATATGGTATTTGTCTTTAACCAGAGCCGAGTATCCAAATGACCAGAGAAAGTTTTTAAATAACCAGAGAAATTTGTTAAATACATACTTGATGAAGCATACCCACGGATTCTGCTCCACGGGACCCAGAGTTCTCAGGAACGTTTACCTTTTTTAAAATTCCCCTTTTAAAAATCAGAATTTTAAAATTCCCTTTTTAAAAATCATGATTAAAGAGTTAATTCTGATGTTTACTTTCACTTGTGAACCACTAGACTAGATATTTTTATTACTCAGTGTCTCCAAAATCTTTCCTAAGTCAGTAGTTATTTACTGGTGGGCATGGACCAGGTTTTGTGCTGGATACTAGAGCTTTATTTAGGAAGTGAAAATATATCTGAGTGAAGCATAAATACATTTGACCATTTTTACTTATTTTTGTTTCTGTTCCAACTAATTTGATGATTTAGAAAAGTAAAAAAAAACAAACCAACTCTTAGCGCATATGTGTATATAAGTACAATCTCTGAATTAGGAATGGCCACAACTCATTGTCCCTGCTAACTAATAAGGAAATATTATTTTAAAAATTAATTATACCATGTATATTCTCAGTTGACAATCTGATGATCATGAGATCAGGCTGGCACTTTAAAAATGAAAGATATCATGGACCAATTTTCCCTGTGTCTAAGAACAATTTAAAATCCTAATCAACGCTGACATATGCCACTATCACACATCATTAGAGGTTTTAGTTTATTTAACTATTGAGAAAATTAAAAAATGTGTTTTTTTCCCCCAGAACTTATTTAGTGAATTTAGAAAATATGTGGGTTTACTATTATATTAGACTTTTTCTCTGGAATAATTAATTGGAGGGATACTGGTTGGATTTACTGTTTATATAATTAAAATATTTTCTATATTTTACAATATATCAAATTAGCATTTTATTTCAGCTTTTGTTCCATCGTTTATTTTTGTTCAAGTTTCTGGTGAAAATACATTTTTGTTCATTTATAACTTGATTTAGAGGAAAGGAACTGGGATATGACTTATTTTTATATGTGATATGAATTATTTTTAGATAATAGAGTTCTTAGAATGCATAAGACTTCTTAGTTTTACTATTGGTGGCTTATTAATATTATTATTATTATATCTTTTATTAATACAGCACACATTCAATTAAAACATTTTCTTTTTTTAACAGACAAGAAGCAAACATCAAAGCATGCAATAATTCCTTGCAAAGTAAGAATTTAGTCTCTTTTGAGTTCAATATTGTTCAGATTATATTTGAAAATACATTTAGGGAAAAATTATTAGCATATTCCATCCAATGTAATAAAGCATAGAATGCCTTGAGTTTTTGTTAAAATTTAGGAGAATCATTTGTGTGTGTATGTGTACATATATGTTGGTATGTGTGTGTGTGTAAAATATTTCTGGTCTTGATGGGGGTTTGTACTCGCTATGTTAAAAGGTAATATTTCATTTGTTTGTCCTCATTATAAAAAACAACTCTGATTTGATAAGATCCCCTTGTGTTTGAAATCCACAATAACAAAACCAAAAGTAGAAAATGAAAATATAGTTTAAAAAAGTGAAAATACCTTTTTACTTTAGTTCCCAAGTTTGTTTTATGTACAGTTTTCTGTTTTTCCAGTGAATATCTAATATGTTATTAGGAAACGAGACTAAAATTCTGTAGTCTTGGTCCTAGTAGTAATTTAAAACTAGCAGTAAAGAAAAAAAAACAACTTAGTATAAAAAGTTCTAATTATTTTATAAATTTTTACCATTTCAATAAATATTTCTCAAAAAAAAGTCAAAATGGATGGTTCATTTGTTACATAGACACAACTAGAAATGTTCTCCTTGATAAATTGAGCTTAAATCTGCACTGCCACAACATTTATCCACTGGCTCTAGTTCCTCCTTCAGGAAACACAAAAGGAGCCTCTAACTTTGTGATTAAGAAAATGGACACTGGAACCAAACCATCTGTGTTTGAATTTTATTTCTTCTACTTGATGATTTTTGGCAAATAATATAATTTCTCTCAGTGCTTTATTTTTCCACATCTATAAAATGGAGGCAATTGTAAATTATATTATCTAATTCAAAGTGTTGTTCGAGGATTAAATAAGCTTATATGTGTAAAGTGCTTAAAATACTGTCTGGCACATAGTAAGCACTATGTTACTGTTAGCAGTTGCAGCTATTCTATACATACTACTACTACTATTCCATATATCTCCTTAAGTATTTAAATATAATGATCAAATTTTTTATTAGTCTTCCCATCTCCAGGAGAACTGTCCTTAGTTACCTCATCAGTTCCTTTTGTACATAGCTACCAGATATGGTGATTCTCCTGATCACTGTATTTTGGATATATTCCAGTGCGTATATGTTCCTTTAGTAAACTTTATCAAATTCCTCAGGGTGACATTAGTTCATAAAATTATATAGGTTTCAAGTGTACAATTCTAGGATACATCATCTGTATAATTGCATTGGGTGCTAACCACCCAAAGTCAAGCTTCTTTCCCTTTTTAAAATAGAGTTCACAGAACTGAATGTAGTATTTGAGTCTCTGGCCCTAATTTTGGTGTATTGAAATGTCATCATTTAGGTCAGAGGAATGCTAAAAGGAAACATTCAGATTTAACCAATTGTGAATTTTACTAATTACTCTATTCTCAGCATTGTGCTAGCTATTATGGGGACTATACAAGAAGTCACATTTAACCGTTGCCCCCTCAATAAATTTAATTAAAAATTATTAAAATTACAAATGTTATTTTAAAACATAATTATTGCTAAATAGGGAGATAAGCTTTTACGGGGAAATCTCATTGAAATCCCTAAATGACATGCAAATAAACTACAAACTCTGGGGAAAGGGGATATTTTGAGTTATAACTTAGTTTAATTTGAACAATATATTTCTTACTCATGAATATTTCAGTGCTTACTAAGGTCCAGCTTCTAATTGCAAATTATTTATTGTCTTCTCTTATGTTAGTCAGCGAATCAAGCAGAAAATTGTGTCATGAAGAATACTTCACATTGTCATTTCCTAAACCACCACAGCCAGGCAGAGAAAAGAGATCGAGACTTTCAGAATTACAAACCTCCATTCCTGTAAGAAATGCAAAGTTCATTTTAAAACTAAATCTAAGATTATACAATATATAAATAAAGGCATATGTAAAATTATATAAGATATAATATATATAATAGTTACATATTATATATTATATGTATAACTTATCATTTAAATTAAATATTAGTTATATTATAATTTTATAATATAACATATATGCATAACTTATAATTTAAATTAAATTATAATATTTATATATTATAAATAGAGCTTATAATTTAAATTATAATATATTATTCATATTATTTATAGTTATATAGCTTATAATTTAAATTATGTTATATAAATTATATTCTATAACTTATATATAGAATTTAAATTTTACTACCTCTTGGAGGCAGATATTTTAAAACTTACAATTTTCCATAAGACAGGTTGCCCTCACCTACCACCTCAGATTAAGCTTTTATTTGTATGTGGCTCTTCATTTCAAAGACATTATATAGCTAAAAGAACAGGCAAGCTAGAGAACCTACTGCTGCAAATGCTGGGATCTCTCAGGAAATTCTTAGTGCTGCAAAAATATAAAATTTGAAACTTAGAACATGAGCTGATCTTGATGAGATTTCAGATCGTCTCCATTTTCCTGAATCTGGTGCTAAAGATCCTAGATACTGGAAGATTCAAGTTTCCTACTGCTTTTGTGAAGTAGGGTCATCAGCCAGCAAAAAGGAAAGCTATACGTGTGGCAAACGCCCATGGTAAGAAGCAGAACCTGGTGGCCTTTTATGTGCGTCAGCAAGGCTGCGCTCTCCTGGCCACCAATGTACGGCAAGTGAAAGAAAGTGTTCCCAGCAGTGAAAAGTGAAGCATTACATTTCCTATGTGTTAAATATCCTGTTAGATGTTAGAGTTTGGTCGATGAGTAATGCGTGTACTTAATGCATATTTCTGTCTGTGTATTCATGCGCTTACCCCAGGAAACAAGCATTATTAGGCATCTCTGTACAAAAGAACACTACCCTTCCCTGCTCCAGAGGTGACTATTGAGGGCAGTTGTGGGGGTTTGGTTCCAGATGTTTTTCTCAGCATTCTCTCTCTCTCTCTCTCTCTCTCTCTCTCACACACACACACACACACACACACACACACACACACACACACACACGAGGTGCTACTATGAGCTTTTTCCATTTGCTTTTCTCCAGTAACAGCGTGTCCTTGGCACATCACGGTCCTTCTATTTCCTACTCGGCCAGTGTTCCTTACTACAAGCCCCCATTATTAATTTGCCTTCTTCAGTCACTGCCAGTTAAATAAAAAAGGTGTTGTTTTTTTTTTTACCAAAAAGAAAAAAAAAGAAAGAAAAAAATAAAGTAAAAAAAGAAAAGACTAGTGTTCAGAGGTCAACCCATGCCGATACCAAAATATGTTTTAAAGCCGTCTCCCAAAGCAGTTACATTCAATGAATTTACTTAAGAGCCATTCGTAATATCTGTAATGACTGAAGTACAGACTTCTGTTCATGATCTTCCTTTAATTCCGTATGACCATTTCATTGACTGGTGATATCTCTACTGAATAATATAAAAGAATATTTTATAAATGTAAGTTAATAATCTATGTGGCCACTATGACATTCACATTTGTCAAATGTTTGGGTGGGGGTTTAAACAGTTACACTACTGCAACACAAATTAGTGTGGATCAAACATGTGTTTCATTTTATGTCCTTGTTTATGACAGTACTTCACAGCAGGATTCTCAGGCTTATAATTCAATGAGAGACCTTGAAAGCAGGAGTAGAAATGAAGTTAGGCCTGAAGCCAACAGCTATCACAAGAATTGTCATGACACACTTGATGGGTATAAGTGTATTTCTGAACTAACTTGAGGGTGGAAGGTACGCAAAATGTTCCAAAAGGTTTCTCATTTTGAGGTCCACTATCAATTGTGAGTACAGGCCCCAAAAGACCACAGCTTTGGATCATTGTGGGGCTGCTTCAACCTCAATATGAATCATTGAGAAAATCCTTAGGTTTCTTCTAAAGTAATTTTATTTTTAAAGTAGTTATTATCTCACATAAGCACAAAACATACATAGGACATTGAAAAATTAAAAAAAAAACAGCTTTAAATGGATGGTTAGAAAAAGCTATTTTCAACTTTCAATATATAAATGTTTACCTCATTCAAAATCTGTTTTTGATTTTATGAAATTTTTAAATTAAATTTATTTGAATGACATTTGCTTCTAAAATTATATAGGTTTTAAGTGTACAGTTCTGTGATATGTTATCTGCATATTGCAATGTCATTCTTCTTATTCTAACCAATCTTTTTAGAAATATGACAAAAGAAAATTAGAAGAAGTCCATACACCTGCTCAGATATGGATAAGGTATTTTTTAAGAAAAAAATGCCAAAGGCCATCTAATTACTTCACTGTCAGAAGACAGGATCCCTTTAGTCTTCCCTATACTCCTAAAACCCATTCTGAAAAGGCAGAATCTGAAAAGTCGGAAGAGTCCAAGAAAAATACTGGCCCACATGAAAAAACTCCAGAATCCAAAAAAATGGCAAATGATAAAAAACCTAAAAGAGGAGCTAAAACAGATAAAACTTTATCAAAATCATCACATGAAAGTGAACTATCTAAGAAGTTGAAGTACAAACCAGAAACAAACCCAGAATCCAAAGATTCTAAGGTAGTCTTAGTGAAGGATCCAAGAAAAAGTAAGAGAGATTTCAAAATTTTCAAGAAGACAAATATTAAATCCATATGTACACGAAAGAATTCCAAGAGCCCAGAGAACAATTCTGATGCCAAATCTGAGGCCTACTCAAAAAATAGTTCAAATATAGATTTAATGATATCTCTAGAGGAGTCTGGTGCTGAATCCATGGAATTTGATACGTGGTTAAATAATTGCTCGCAGAATAATTCAAAGAAGACTTCAAAGAAGGAAGCAAATAAAAGCTCTGATACTGAATCTTTAGATTCAAAAGATGGAAAGAAGGGTAATAAAGGTATAAAGAAAGGCAAGAAGAAAGTTGCAAAGAAGGACACAGAATCTACTGATGAATCTGCAAGCTCAAAGGATGAAAAGAAAGGCTTAAAGAAGGTTAAGAAAGATCCAAAGAAAATTAACAAAAAGAAAGAATCAAAGGACACAGAGACTACTGGTACAGAATCTGAGTCTGAATTGGATTCAAAAAAGGCTAAGAAAGATTCAAAGAATAAGAAAGGTTCAAGGAAGGACAGCAAGAAAATGGATGCCAAGGAGGACACAGTATCAACTGATGGTGATCCTGAATCTGACGTGCTTTCAAAAAGTGATGAAAAAGATGAAAAGGTCAGGAAGAGAGGCTCAAAGAAAGGTGACAAAAAGAAGTCTGCAATAAAGTCTGAAGAGTCCAGTGAAATTGAATCTGATTCAGATTCAAAAATGGCTAAGAGAAGTTCAAGGGAAAGTGCCAAGAAGCAGAAAGCAAAGAACATAGAGTCTAGTGATGCAGAATCTGAGGACTCTTCCAAGAAAGAACCAAAGAAGACTGGATTGATCAAAAGTTCAGATGCTGAGTCTGATGATTCAATGCATAGACTTGGGGCTCAAAACAAAGGAGCTGAAGAATCAGATGGCACATCTGCAGATTCAAAGAAGGGGGTGCTGGGACAGAAAAGAGATATCAAAACGTCATTCAGAAGGACTACATTCAGAGGAAAAGAAAAAGCAGTTACAGGTAGATTTCCTCCGCCAAGAAGAAGCCCAACATTTCCACCATTTCCTTTGGAGCCGATAATTCTGTCACCTAAGATCAAACGTCCCTGTCAGTGCAAGATGCAGCTTCCACCTCCAAAACCAAGATATGCTCCTTTGGTACGTTTACTCTGTTTTATTTTAGAGACAATTGTATTGAAAATGAAAGATATTTTAGAGATTTGAATTTCTATTTTCTCTAAAGAATAGTTCTCTTTTACTGCAATATTGCTAAGCTTGGGACTCTCAGGTAAGAAAGATAAAGGACACCTCAAAATGACTCAAAAGCATTGCAAAACAAATGTAAAAAAGTTAAGAATAATATTTAGACCGGAGCATAGAGAACTAGCTTGTGACTTAAGAAAACATTTAAAATTATGTGTAAACAGAGTCATATTACAAAAGTGGTTAACTGTTCTATATAAGAAAATAACAAACATGAAAATTGACTAGCACTTGTACAGGCACAGATTTAAGTAAGATATAAAATCATTTCCTAGGAAGTTGTTGAATACAGTATAACCACAACCAAAATACAGACAGGGCTAGTTGGAAATATAACATATGAGGATTCAGATAGACAAAATATTATATCTGAACTAGACTTCTTTATGTGCCAGTATTCTAACTGATAATCCATCCACCAGGGGAACTCTTCCATCCTCCTTCATCCAAAATCTGGCTAGAAAAGCAAGCTTAAGTAGACATCTCACCTTGGATGGAGGGGCTCCTGTCCCCCTTATTGTCCTTGCTTTATGGCTCTCTCTGATCTTTGGTTGGGGCGTAGCTCACTTTCATGGTTTCCGTGTGTCACTGTGTTTCTCTCCTTTCTCACACAGCGTGCTTTGCCTATTTTCAGCATGATAGGGCTGCTGCACTCTACTGCTAAAATTAGAGAATCTGTAGATACAGCCAGGTCTTGACCTTGAGCTTCAAATTTCAATTAATGTCCTCCTATTCTTTCTCAAAGAGCTTCAATACTCTCTTTTAATCTGGTGAGAATCTCCGTTTGCTTCTCTCTCTCTCTCTCTCTCTCTCTCATTTTGGGATTGCTTTTATCTCTCTGAAAAAGCTTGGATTTTAGGTGCATTTTCCCCTACCGTACTCAAAACCTTAGCTTTGAGACTTGAACCTGAAATAAGCATGCCCTTGTTTAGAAGTCAATCTTAGAAATTGTATCAATGGGTGGGTAGTCATTAGGGTAACAACAATGAATATGTTGCTGGATCATTTTTAAGGTAAATGAGAAAAAAGAACCTCATATACCTGGATTGTTTTTCCACAAGTAGTTTTTATGCAAAAGAAATACAATGTGAGAAAGCAAGTTGGGGCCAAATATTAAATTTATTTATGAAACACAACTTCAGGGTGGTGTTCTGGGCTTGTATATATATTTACCAGCAAGTCTCTTTAATAAACTTCCATATGCATAATTACCATGCAGTCAGGCTCCTCTTCACTAAAAGTGCTCTTTTCAAGATTAACAAATCCCTTCTTGGGGCCACATCAACGGGTCTCTCCTCTCTCCTCATCTTATTCTATAATCCAATGGCATTTAAGCTAGCCTCTCCCTCTTCCTAAGAACACTTACTTTACTTGACTTCTATGACTCCATGCTCTCCTGTTTTCCTTTGTATACTATGTATATAGTATACAAATATATAGAATATATATTTGTAAAATATAATATACTTTCTGATATATACTCTTGTCTTCTTTTTTAAATATTCAATCAATTTCTAAGTTGCAGGAGACAGAAAAAATAGATTGAAGGCAACTCCACTATCAAGTGGCAGTTTTTTTGTGTATGTGTGATTTGAATTAAGTCATCTGCAGATGAGAAGACAATTACCTAACCTACTCATTATAACAAATTTTTCTTAAGTTCTAATGAGAAAGAGGATATGAAAAAATTTCTTAATGATTTAGATGAAACCTAAGAGTAACAGACTAGCTTGCCAAAAACTCCTCATCATTTCTTTCAGAATAAATGTTATAATGCTTACAGTTGTTAACAAGGTCCTAGGCAATCTGATTTGTTGCTCTCTCTGTCTATGGCCATACCACCTTGAACGTGCCCGATCTCGTCTGATTTGTTGCTCTCTCTGATTTCATCATTTTTCCTATTCATCAATCTGATCCAGCCACATTGACTTCCCTGTGTTTTTCCTTGAAAAGCTGAGAAATATTATTTAGGATTTTTTTGCCCTCGTTCTTCCTTCTACCCAGAACATTATTTCTTCAGATTTCCATTTGTCTATTTCTCCCCTTTAGATAATTTGTTCAAATGTCAATTTCTCAGTGTGGCTAACCTGACCATACTTTTTTTTTTTTTTTTTTTTTAGTTTTTAAGCAAAGCTCTGGCCAGTTTTATTAAAGGAAAATTCTGCATGATTTTCTTTTTTTTCACTTAATTTATTTTTTCAAATACATTTGTCTCTGTACATGATTTTCTTTTCACCAGTCTATTCTTTCATGCTTTTATCCTCACAATCTTCACCTCATCTACTTTTTTCCATAGTTGGCTACCTTTCACTATGTAATTTACTTATTTATTATGTGTGTTTTGTGTACCCTCTGGTAGAAAGTAAGCTCTGGAAGGACAGAACTCTTTTTATTTTGTTTACTAATATTACCCAAATGCCCAAAAGAATGGCTGGCACTCAGTAGGTATCGAATACGTAAATTAATGTGGCATTTATTAGATAATAAGAACAAAGAATTAAAAACAATTCTTGGCATTTAAAAACATTCAGATGATACTGGACAGTATGAATTTTTAGCGTACCCAGTTCATGAATTTATTTATTCTTTCATTCATTACACCAGGCTGAAGAAAGTAATATTTGAGCTGAGTCGTGAAAGATATGAAAGGCTTTGACATGCAGAGACTGTGGATAAGTTTCTATCCATGAACATTCAGCTAGTTAATAGCAGAGCTAGGCTATAAACATGCATCAGGAGATGGAAGGTCAGAGTGTGATGTTGAAAGCTGGTATTAACTTAGGGAAGAAACAAAATTTACAGTCCAGAAACCAGACAAAGTGAATGGTGAGAGAGACATACAGTTAGAAACCAGCATAATAAGCATAGTGAAAGTCTAAGGAACATAAAAGCAGCAAAAAAAATTGTTATGCCTCTACATGAGATTTTTTAGAGAAATACTACACAATAAAATAAATGGAAGGAGGATGAACTAAGTTCTGATTTGTAGCTAGATAGCCTCTTTAATTTTTTAATAATATAGTTTACAAAGTTTCCTGTCTGTTATATAACTGTGTTGAAATGCTGATGCTTTGCTGTGCTTTAAGCATGCGACTAATCTATTTTTCTCTCACTCATCATTAAGTTGGATGTCTTCTTGTTGACATCTGTCTATCAAGAATAAATTCTAATTTCATGATCCAAGTTATTTAGACAATTGTCCATTTTCTGGACATTCCCCAAACTCTTTCCTATATGGAAAAAGAATGTACTACTTACTACTATTCCTTGAATTGTCAAGCTACTTAATTCCTCATTAAAGTATTACCAGTTTAATTTTGGTTACTGTCTTAGGCAGCTTGGCTGTTAATAGACTGAGTGGCTTAAGAATACTTACTTTTCACAGTTTTGGAGGCTCTCAGTCCAAAATCAGGATACAAGCATGGTTGGTTTCTGATGAGGGACCTCTTCCTTGGTTGTAGATGTCACCTTCTTACTATATCCTCACATGACAGAGATAGTCCTGGTCTCTTCATTCCCTTAGAAGGACACTGGTCCCATCATGGAGGCTGAACCCTCATGAGCTCAGCTAAGCCTAACTACCCCTTAACTGCCTTGCCTCCAAATACCATCACAGTAGGGATTAAGGCCTTAAAATATAGATTTTATAAGGACACAAACATTCAGCCTATAGCAGTTAACCTTCTGGTGTTAACCATAGTTTAACTGAGATCTTTAAAATTCTTAAAAACAAAATACATAAATGAATGAATTTCAAATGTTGGATATTGGGTAGTGTGAAATACTTTAGAAAGTGGCATTTCTAGTGCCTCCCTGAAATGACAGTATATGCATAGAAGTTATTCCACCTATATTTAAGGCTAGATCCAGTCAACACCTCTCAAACATTTGGTAAGCATCATATGGCAGGAAAGAATATTGAACTGTGAATTGAGAACATTAGTGATAACGTACATTTCTGAGAATAAAATCAAGATCCTTATAATAAATGGTCAAGAAATAGGAAGGCAGAATTTATGCAGGGTGAAATAAATATCAAAATCAAAATCATGAAAAAGTACTTACTGTGTAGTATTAGTAATTAAATCAACTCCATTAGATAATTTTTAACCTAATAATGCAGCAAATATATATGCACAATTTGTGTTAGTATGAAACATATAAATTGTATAGTATTAAATGTGTGAGATATATTTTATAGAGATAAGAGATTAGATAGATCAATAGATAAAGAGATAGATAGATAGGTAGATAGATTAATCTTATTTAGAGCTGTTAAAGCTTCAGGATCAGTGGTACATTTATTCATGGCTCCCTGAAAAAGAAAAATGGAATAAACTGACTTAACTCTCCTCTGGACCTACACGGGACTATATAGGAAGGGTCATAAATAGGACAATACTATTTGACTCAGTTATCTCATTACTAGAAATGTAATGAAAAAAACCAGCATAAGGAAGAACAAACTCAGCATAAAAATGATGAATGCAATACTGTTTATAAAAATAACTTTAAAAGTGAAGAAAATGGTTTAGAAAAATATAAAACAGAAAACAGAATAGTTTGTATTCACTGAAACAATTGTGAAACCTTGAAAATTCAAGGGCAAAGTTCATACAATGATGTTGCGACTAGGCAAAAATCTGCATACTGGTGGACAAAGAGTAGGCAAAAGTATGCAAATAAAATACTTATATTTAGTGTAGTATAATCTGCAGTGACTAGCAGCTACTTTTGATGTATTTGTGTTTTTATAATTTATTATCAATTTTTAATGTTCTAGTCTATTAAAAGAGTTGTGAAAACTCAGACTCATACCGTAGCATTGCTAAGACTTGGTTCTTACACAAATGTTGGTGAATGGACTAAAATTCAGTATTTGTCATCTTTCAGTGAATATTAAAATCACCCAGGAAACTTGTGGAACATGCACATTGCTAACTCTATATCAGAATTTAACTTGATATGTTGGGGGTAGAATACATGGACCTGTATTTTTAATAATTAAAATTTATACCCAAGTTCTCTTCCACCTATTACATTCTGTGATTTCATGTGGTTCATAACATATCAGCAAATCTCTGTAATAGGTAAATAACCTTTTTCTTTTTCTTTTCTTTCCTTTTTTTTTTACTTTATATCTCAGCCTGAAGCAAAGTGGATTCATAAGCTGCTTTAAAGAACAATTGAGCACTTCATGTCACAGAAAGGCCTTACCACAGGAAACACTAGCTACTCTCAAACGAGCATTTCTACTTCTGTGGGACTGTAATAAATAAAAACGAGTCTTCTGTGACGAGTACCAGGATCTGATTTTTGTGTATGTAATTTATAGAGATGCTTTATGGAAGTGTGTGCTTTATTTCTTAAATGTCTGAACCAAAATACTGCAGCATTTTACCCCATGTTCTGAAGATTCAGTTTAGAAGCCGTTTCTGAGTTTAGATTAAAATTTAGTGATCTTCCTTTGGATGCACTAATTAGATTGTGTTAAATTTCTCTCTTATTTATACACAATGGGAGGAAGTAAACAGATCTTCCACACCCTTAAAAGAGTTCAGTGTATATAGTAATTCTCATTTTCCACATACATATACAGAGTTTTCAGTGTAATCATTTACCTTTAGACAATTTTCCCTTTAGTTTATTAGTTTATTTAATAATAAGCTGCAAGTATCCCTGGAATAAAAACACACAGTTGTCAATTATTTTACATATTTTCATGATTATGCCTGTCATATTCTTTCCTGAGATTAAGGAAAGGGGTGTGGAAGGAAAGATAAATAAGATAGATAGACAGACAGACAGATGGATGATAGATTATTATTGTCTTAGTAGTAAAAACTGGATAACAAAAATAGAAATTTATTTCACATAATTCTGGAGGCTGGGGAACCTAAGATCAATGTACCAGGAGATTTAATGTCTGTTGAGAGCCTACTTTCTGGTTCATAGACAATGCTTCTCACTGTGTCCTCACATGGTAGAAGGGGACTAGTAACCTTTGTGGGGTTTCTTTTATAAGCACTAATCCAATTCATGAGGACTCCACCTTCTCAAAGCACCTCCCAAAGGTCCTGTTTTGGGGTATTAAGCCCCATCCTAATACCAACACATTGAGCATTAGAATTCAAACATGAATTTTGGGAACATAAATATTTAGTCTATACCAATGATATATCTGCAGATGAAGTTTCATATAAATTTGGGGACTACTTTAACTTCACACAGTCTGCTTTCTGTCTTTTTGTTACAATCTTCACTTCCACTTGTTCTCAGAAATGACTGCATTTCAGACCCAGCTCTTAAAGAGGTGTCAATTTTCTAAGCTATTTGATTATTTACATATGCCCTAAGTTATAAGTGTTTTTAATTACAACATTATAAATAGAAGTAGATTGGAACTCTAATTATCTATCAATAAGTGATTGACTGAAAATATAATAGTAATTCTCCACAATGTAATGCCATGTGAATGTGAAATAAGGAAGCTCTCAATGAGGTGAGATGGAAAACTCTCCAATTTAAATTTAAGCGAATTGCATCAAAGTGTGGAAGAGCCCATATGCTTTATATGCTGTAATATGTCTTAAAAAGATGAAGGAGAAATATTATAATATAATAATATAACATGATATAATATAGCATAAAACAATACATATCATTATAGTTTATGTTATATTACTATCATATATAAATATTACATTAATGCAGTAATACTAACAATATAATATATTAATATTTATTATATTAAAAATTAATAATAATATTGATATTATATGAAACATGTTATATATACAATCTATTAATTATATAAAGATTATATGTTATATTATTATACAGTGATATATTATTATGATCGACATTATACTAATATTATATAATATACATTGTTATCATATATTATTGTAATTATAATATTACATGTAATTGTATATCATTATATATAATAATAAAATGCACAATATATTATATATTGCATATTATATGGCATTACTATAATATAATATATAAAAATATAATTATATATTTAATTATATCATGTTATACTATATTATGATTATTATAACAACTATATTAAATAAAATATATTGTATCATATATTATATCCACATACTATTATATATATTGTATATTGTTAAATATTATACTTATATACTACATTATATTTTAATATGATATATGTTAAAACCTGCAATATTATAAAATCATATATTATAAACTATTATACAATATATCATATTATATATTATTATACTATATATCATTCATTACTATATATTATACATTGTCATTGCTTTATGATATTACCATATTATATATTGTATTATATAAGTTACAGAATATATCATATATTATAATGTATGGTACATATATTAAAAATACTTTATATTATATACTATATATAGTATAAAATATATAATATAAAATATTATAATGATATATAACACAGTACCATCTATTATAATATTTTATAATATAATGCTATAGAGTATATGATATAACATTAAATATTGTACTATGTATTATAAAATAAATTATATACTATATAACATACATTATGAATATTATAGCCTACTACATAGTATAAGTACACTGTATAGTACAGTACACTATCATATACATTATAGTACATATATCATATATATGCTATATAGTATACATACACTACATACTGTATAGTATGTACAGTACATATAGGATACTGTTACCGAACAAATGGACCCATGGGGGCGGGGTGCCCAGATGCTATTACCGAAACAACGATCTCCCCCTTCCCTGGGGTCCCTCGGTTGTACATCCTTTTACTCGCTGCCCTTGGAATTATGGCTCTGAATGGCAAAGTTTGATGAAAAGGAAAGGAGCTATTTATTCAAAAGTTATACAGGTTTGATGAATGGCTAAGTGTCATCTGTAAACCTCAAAATCCCTTTAAAACAATCACCAGCACACACACCGTCCTGCCTTCCCCGCTTTGCCCAGTCAGGCTGTTACCGAACAAAAGGACCCGTGAGGTGGGGGGCGCCCAGATGCTGTTGCCGAAACAAGGACACCCTCCTTCCCCGGGACCCCTCGGTTGTGGGTCCTTTGCCTGCCGCCCTTGGAATTACGGCTCTGAATGGCAGAGTTTGGTGAAAAGGAAAAGGAACCATTTATTCAAAAGTTACACAGGTTTGATGAATGGCTAAATGTCACCCTTAAACCTCAGACTCCCTTCAAAACAACCACCAGCACCCACACCATCCAGCCTTCCCCCCTTTGCCCAGTCAGGCCAGTCAGGGCTACCGTCCTTCGGAAGGAAAAGACCAGAAGTCCGGGGCTCGGCTGGGCAGGCCTCTCGCGGGTCTCAGCACCCTCCGCTGCGTCGCCGCGATCGATCTCCAGCTCTTCATCCATAACCATGTGGCACCTTCTCAGGGCCCACGAGCAAGAGTCCTTTCTCCCCTTTCTTCCCGCGTGGTCTTCGCACTGTTCCCCAGAGTCCGTGTCCCTTTCTCTCTCCTGCAGGCCCCTGTCTCTCCTCTTTCTCTCAGTTACCATCTGTATTAAGTCTTTGAAACCTTCCTGATTAGCTTTGGTGATATGCCAAATAATCCTCTTTGCAAATGAGGAACGAAATTATCCTGTTATTGACATGCAAACTTACTCTCAATGGCCCTGCTCAAGGCTCCCATCCCCCCTGGCGGCCCGCCCTAGGGTGGGGAGAATATATTTTTCTTGGACACCCCAATCTCTGGACCCTGTTACAAAATACCCTTTGGGGGGGCCCTGGCTGTGCCCCATTACAATACTATACATATAAATCCTGTGTGTGTGTGTAGGATATATATACTATCCTATATATAGGATACATGTCTATATAGGACATACCTATGCTATATATAGGATATATATAGGATAATGTGTGTGTATATATAGGATATGTACATATATATAGGATATGTACACACCTATATATGTGTATATATATAGGATATACATATATACATATGTACATATGTATAGTGCATGGTATGTACTATGTATATAGTATATAGTACATAGAGTAAATACACATTATATATACCATATTGAAGATATACCCCATTTACATATCTACTCTACATATACTACGCTATTACTACATGTACAGTACATATGCTATACTATCTATATAGTATATAGTAGTATATAAATATAATATATCTATATAGTATATAGATATATAGCGTATATACTGTACATGTATATAGTGTATATAGGATATGTATATGCACTATATAGTAAAGTATTTATATACTACAGCATATACTATATGTAGTATATACGTATATATTAATACTAATATAGTATATATGTAGATATAGTATATGAATATAGTATATATAATATATACAGAGATTGTATATATGTACATATGTACTATATATTCATATACATATTATATATAATATACATACATACAGTCTATATATACTATATTTATATATAAGTATATTTATTATGTTATATAATAAATATAGTATATATTATATACATAGTACATAGCACATATATAGTATATAGTATATACTAGTGATAGTAAATACTATATATATACTATATACAATACATACTATACTAGATATTATATACTACATATTATATATGTGTTATACATACAGTACATGTACTATAATATATGCATTATATAGAGAGCATATATACTCTATATAATATACACTATACATATATGTACACATATATGTATACATGTGTACACATATGTACAGACAGTATATACTACATGTAGTATGTATATATACATGTGTGCATATGTATGTGTATATGTGTATAGAGTATATACCGCATATGTACGTGTATAAATAGTATATATAGAATATATATCTACACTATATATTCATATAAGTAGTATAAATACTGTATGTTGTACATAGTATATGTAGTACATATACTATGTATACTATGTTTACATATATAGAGAATATATATAGAATATATTGTACATAATGTATAGTCATATAAATAAATATATATAGTATACGTAGTTTATAGAGTACATGTGTAGTATGTACTATATATTCTATACAGTATATATAGGATATATATACTGAATATATAGTGTACATATATGGTATATATTGCATGTATAGTATATATATTATTTATAGTACATATAATACATATAGTGTGTGGTAT